TCCAGACTTAACCCAGATAGCCGTCCCATGGAGTCAATCGTATACTTAAAGAACAATGTGAAAGACTTTGACTCCATGGCGATTGAACTGTGTGCATTGTGTCTGTTACGGTTGCTTCCAGGCTGGCTGGAAGTTGGACCGTAGAAAGGATGCTCCTAGCGCTCACCAAAGGACCATCGGCACCGTAGACACCATAACTACTGCGTAGACACCATAAGTACTGCAGACTCCACGAACTGCCGCTGCTGGGCTAGGATCTTGACGTCTGCTATCCACCCTGGACATACGACCAGGCTCCAGATTCCAGTAGGTGAACCTCTTCCTTCTGTCGAGCGAAGCAGGATCAGGAACAAGAGCTCTTACAAGAGCTCAGTAGCTAAGGGAGTATGAAGAGCATAGCAATCCCTGTAGTGATTATAGCTGTCCACTACAAACATGAGTCAAGGCTGCAAGTTAGAGGGTCAAGTCATTCTGTTTATTGGCACCCAAAGGGCTTTCTTTTATTAAGGTTTCCTTTAGATAGGACCACCCACAGGGTTTTACAGAACAGCCAATAACAAACGTACATTACAAAAACCACTCCCAGAAATTACATACAAAATACTCCCCTCTGCCTGTGATATAATTATGGTACACAATACTTTATATAATTATCACAGGCAAGAAAAATACAGTTTTAACACCTACACTGTAACTTTAAAACCACATATCCAATCTTCAAACTTACATATTCTTAATCAGCACACTTTAAATATAAACATAACCAAAAATCAGACAAATACATCCAGTGAATAAAAAGTTAGACGGAAGTCCTTTATGACCGACCTTTTCCTGACCGAAACAGTTCCATAGATTTGGGCTATGCAGTCGGTCTATTTTACACAGAAAAATGACTAAGTCCCATTTGAATGCACGAACGGGGCCGTTTGTGCATTTGGCTTAGTATAGCAGTGAGTTCAAACTGTCAAACGGAACTTAGTCTCTGCAGCTGCAAATTCAGTGTAGGAGAAGGTACAGGTCAGCGGAGCTCGTTGAAATGTGTAGCCGATTTTAGTTCCATGAATTTGGCTACACATACCGCTGACCTCGTGCGAATGAACAAAGATGGCACCGCCACGTGTTGGTTTGCACGAACTGCGGCCACCCAGCGGTCGGCAATTTACCTACAGCAGGCTCCCACTTCTGGGTGGTCCGCCTGTGTGGTATTTGGTTCACTAAGCCCCATTTACTGAACCAAGTGGGAAATAGCCAGGAACTAGTTATTTTACAGGTCTGGGGGACATAGTCTTAAAGGGGCATTGTTCACCAAAGTCACAATATGTCCCCAGACGGTTCTTAAAGGGCCATACACACCCAATAAAAGTCCATAAGTGTTCAGGGGCACAATCTCCCAGGGGCCATAGTCATGAGGAAGGAGGCTGGCAAATAGTCTTCTCCACAACCCAGGAAAGCAGGGCAATTTGTCATTTAAAGGCACAGTTACAAATGGCAGTTTGTAACAGGTTCTGAGCGCTATTCGGTAGTAATGTGCGCTCAGATCCAGGCTATCTGGGGATACGTTACACAAATTAAATGCATTCGGTAGTTTTACAGTTATGGATTTTTATGTGTTTTTATTATACCATGTAAAATGGCGGTTTGCCTCTATCCCTGGAGATAATTGGATTTCTTCCCAATTATCTCCAGGATAGAGAGGAGGGATTTACTTGTGCAAAGGGGAGTGTTTATACCTGAGCCACTGTGATTGGTTACTGTACATTATGTGTCCCAGTCTTCCATCTGGTCCCCTAGGGGCATGTCCACCAGGTGGGAGACCTGCATAAATAACGGGCAGGTAGCCCTCATTAAAGCAGTTTCCTCTTTTACCCTCAAGACAGAGCTTGGTCTCGTGTTTGGGGGGATTGCTACTTGGAAGTATTATTTCGCCTGTTTTAGCCGTGGAAGGAGTTCGGCTGATTCTTTGTTCGGGAGTTTGAAGCATTCCCTTATCCTCCTTTCGGGAGTTTGGCGGTCTACAGCAACAGCGCCTGTGTCTCTAAAGGGGGAAGATCAACTAAACGGCGGTTTCAATGATTTAAGCTGGGAGTGTCTTAACAGGATCAATGACGATGCCAGCTGACAAAGCATCCCAAATACGGAAAAAAACACCATCTGTTGATAGATCAATTGTACGTAGGGTTGTGACCTGTTTCCTAGCAGCCGGATCATGATCTGCCAAGCTGACCTATTAGTCATTTACCTGTAATAGTAATGTCGATGGTCATTTGCGGACCTAGGGCCGCGGTGAGAAGCTGCCACCATGTCTCAACTCTTGATGTGGACGTTGTAACGGCACCCCCAGGCATAAAAGGGGTTAAAGCCGTTAAGTAGATATTCCCCTTCCAGATACACAGGTAGCTACCAAAGACACCAATCCACCGAACCGGAGAAGCATACGATTGCTCTCAAACATACGAATGCTGTTAACAGCCGAATAGGAAAAACCTTACAAAAGGTTTACACTCCTAGCAGTCGAACTGGAACAGCATACAATAAATCCCCCCAAGAACGAGACAAGGCTCCTTGTTGAGGGTCAAAACAGGAACAGACAGAGCTGTGGGTTTATTGTTCTTATATACACATTAGCACCACCCACAGGGTTTTGGAAAACAACCAATAAACCCGTACAATACACTCAGACACTCCCACACAAAATCCTCCCCTCTGCCTATGATACAATGACCTTACACAATGGGTAATGTAATTATCACAGGCAGAGAAATACAGTTTTTCCACATTATTCATAACTTGAAAAGTATGCATCAGATTCACATCAAATACAAACATACGTCAAAATCATACAAATTGGTCCAGTGGTTCAAAAGATAGATCATAGTCCTTTGTGACCAAATGAAGCATGGCTTTTCTGCCCAAAACCATTTCCACAGAGTCTTCTATCCTGGAGATAATTGGGAAGTAATCCAATTATCTCCAAGGACAGAGGCAAAACTTCATTGAACACATGGCAGCAAAAGCCAATAAAATACATAAAAATATATAACTGTGCAGCCATTGCATAAAACAGGTACATTCAACATATCTCCAGATAGCTCAGATCTGAGCGCACATTATTACTGAATGGCGCTCAGAGCACACACATACAGTTCAATTGCCATGGAGCTAAAGTCTTTCCCATAGTCTTTCATTATACGAATGGGCTCCATGGCATAGCTATCTGGGGTATCACCGCTCAAACAGGGCAAGCACCGAATGGCCCAGCTTTCGTATCTTTGCAGGGGAAAATCAAGCGTTTCAACATTGGGCCATAGTCTAAAGGCAGCAGGTGGGCAACCAGGCTCCTCCAATGCACAGTGGCGAGATTGGTCTCGTCACAGACAGTGGCTCCTCCGATCGTGCCATGGTCACCCGGTGATGTGGCCTTGCCGGTAGACCTCCAATCTCGAGGAATGCACCTAAGTGAACCACCATTTCCGGAATAGAACCAAGTAGGAACTTTTGCTCCCTCATGACTCACCTGGTGAGAGGTCTCTGTGGCGAAACCAGCCTCGCCACGTGTCCTTGGAGGGGGCTGCTTGCCCGCCTCTTGCCTTTGGACTATGGACCAGACTTTATGTGAATGTGTTAACCCAGATAGCTATGCCATGGAGCCCATTCGTGTAGTTAAAGACTTCGGCGGGGTGGTCGACTATCCTGGGGATAGTGAGTCCCAGAAATATTCAAAGGGATGGGAAACGTAAACTGAGTTGAGATTTCCATCCAGATATGCCATCGTCTAAGAGTGATAAGATGTACGGAACCAATGGTGATTGCGACCTGTATAACAATGAAGAGTCCTCACGTGCTGTAGTGAGAGAGTGAAATAATCCAATCAACGTAGTACGATCCTGTTCCATGCTCGACCTGTCAAAATTCATGTAGGGGTTCCTGGTCTACACGCCACTTACAAGATAGGGTATAATATAGTGAGACCCCTAGGTCCCTGTACCCCTGACTGTTCAGGCACGCATCTCCCAGAGTAGGATGACCGTCGGTAGCCTGAGGAAAGCTGGAGACGTGCTCCGCAATCCACGAGAGCCCTGGAGGTCGGGGAAGGTCAAGTCAGGCCTCTCGATGACCCGAGCGATAGGACAATTGGAAGGATCGACAACCAAGAAACAACAAATAATGTAGATAACGGTAAATACATATGTCGGGGAGAAGGTAAATAGCAGACCGGAAACCGCAAGTCAAGTAAACCCAACTGAAAGGGTCCGGAGCTAAACCTGACGGAGGACTGACTACTAAAACCTAAGATGGATACCGGGAAGGCAGCTAGATGGTTAGTTGCTGAAGGCAAGGCAACCGTGCTCCCCTGTTGGCATCTGAGCACTGGTCCCTGCTAGTGCGAAATTCTCCTTGGAGCTGTGCTGCCGCCGTGTTGGTGTAAACCGTGGTGGCGTGCTCGGGGGTCCTTATAAAAAACCTTGCCTCTCAGGGCCTGAGGTTTAGGGCCTTCACCCCTCCAATCATCTTTAGGTGCCCGTATACTGGTGTCCTCTTGGATAGTAAGGCAGCACTTGCATGGACACCCACCTATCTCCATGTCCATAGTGGGTACTGGGCTTTTCTCAGTGATATACTCCCAGGCCTGCGGCCAAAAGGGGGTTTCGAACCCAGATAGCTCGGGCCAAACCAAGGGCACAGAGCGGGCCAGTCAAAAGGTCACAGATACAGCAGGCCGATCAATGGTGATGTGCTCCGACAGTAGCAGGGGGTCAATCTGCATGTGTAGAGCCCCCTATATGTGTACTGAAATTTTTTTAAAAACTAGGGTTAAAAACTTCAATATGTAAAACCGCCTAGACAGAGTAGTAATGTGCCTATAGGTTATACCGGAAAACTAGCAGACCGTTAATGTATGTGATCAAAACAAAGATATCCTGTTGCAGGAAACTCAGCAGTACAGGGCGTACTGCCTACAGGCTGCTCTCCGGCCCTTGTATAAAATATATATAATAAAAAATATATGGTATCCCATGGAGCTAACTATATATATATATATATATATATATATATATATATATATATATATATATATATATAGTTAGCTCCATGGGATACCATATATTTTTTATTATATATATTATATATATTTTATATATACACTGAGCATAGAGTACAGACCAAATAGGTGAGTGACGTCCATAATAGGTAAGCAAAACCATAAATGTAACCCTTTATTTACATCTCAACTCAGAATTGTACAAGTGAAGGGGCCCTCACAGACCGCCAGCAAACTAGGTCTGAATAAGTCCTGACTCATAAGCCCCTCAAACGGACCTCCACTGAGAGCACCCTCCACCCGCCCAGTCGGACCCATGCGGTCGTGGGGAAGCAGTCACATGGAAGAAAAGTTCGCAATGGCGGCCGGGTACTCCTGTTCGCTCGTGAGTACCCCTGCGACCGGGCAGAACACACTGGACCCACGCGGTCCGCAGGTGAAGACGGCTACGGCGAAGCAGTCACGTAGGGAAGTATATCCGGGTACTCGTGCTCGCCAGCGAGTACCCCGGCAACTGTAAAAAAAAACACACGGCTATGTGCAGAGTGGGAAAAACGGACAGGGAGGCAGGATCGAGGGGATAGGGTCCAGCAATAGTAGATGAAGACACAGAGATGGCCTGGAGTTACAGGCACTAAGAAAATCCACAAAGACCATAACAATACTGCCTACATAAGAAAAAATCTATAATCCTATAGCATTATTAAAAAAAAAAAAAAAATTCCCACTAAGGATTACTACAATACCACATATAAAAAGAAGGTTCCCATAAGGATACAACAATACAGCATACAGGAATAAAATCCCACATGGATTCTAACAATACTGCATTATAAAAAATAAAATCCCACATGGATTCTAACAATACTGCATTATAAAAATAAAATCCCACATGGATTCTAACAATACTGCATTATAAAAATAAAATCCCACATGGATTCTAACAATACTGCATTATAAAAATAAAATCCCACATGGATTATAACAATACTGCTTTATAAAAATAAAATCCCACAAGGATTCTAACAATACTGCATTATAAAAATAAAATCCCACATGGATTATAACATACTGCATTATAAAAATAAAATCCCACATGGATTCTAACATACTGCATTATAAAAATAAAATCCCACATGGATTCTAACAATACTGTATTATAAAAATAAAATCCCACATGGATTATAACAATACTGCATTATAAAAATAAAATCCCACAAGGATTATAACAATACTGTATTATAAAAATAAAATCCCACATGGATTCTAACAATACTGCATTATAAGAATAAAATCCCACAGGGATTCTAACAATACTGCATTATAAAAATAAAATCCCACATGGATTCTAACAATACTGCATTATAAGAATAAAATCCCACATGGATTCTAACAATACTGCATTATAAAAATAAAATCCCACATGGATTATAACAATACTGCATTATAAGAATAAAATCCCACAGGGATTCTAACAATACTGCATTATAAAAATAAAATCCCACATGGATTATAACATACTGCATTATAAAAATAAAATCCCACATGGATTATAACATACTGCATTATAAAAATAAAATCCCACATGGATTATAACATACTGCATTATAAAAATAAAATCCCACAAGGATTATAACAATACTGCATTATAAAAATAAAATCCCACATGGATTATAACAATACTGCATTATAAAAATAAAATCCCACATGGATTATAACAATACTGCATTATAAAAATAAAATCCCACATGGATTCTAACATACTGCATTATAAAAATAAAATCCCACAAGGATTGTAACATACTGCATTATAAAAATAAAATCCCACATGGATTATAACAATACTGCATTATAAAAATACAATCCCACATGGATTCTAACAATACTGCATTATAAAAATAAAATCCCACATTGATTATAACAATGCTGCATTATAAAAATAAAATCCCACATGGATTCTAACAATACTGCATTATAAAAATAAAATCCCACATTGATTCTAACAATGCTGCATTATAAAAATAAAATCCCACATGGATTCTAACAATACTGCATTATAAAAATAAAATCCCACATGGATTCTAACAATACTGCATTATAAAAATAAAATCCCACATGGATTATAACATACTGCATTATAAAAATAAAATCCCACATGGAATATAACAATACTGCATTATAAAAATAAAATCCCACATGGGTTATAACAATACTGCATTATAAAAATAAAATCCCACATGGATTATAACATATTGCATTATAAAAATAAAATCCCACATGGATTCTAACAATACTGCATTATAAAAATAAAATCCCACATGGATTATCACAATACTGCATTATAAAAATAAAATCCCACATGGATTATAACAATACTGCATTATAAAAATAAAATCCCACAAGGATTATAACAATACTGCATTATAAAAATAAAATCCCACATGGATTATAACAATACTGCATTATAAAAATAAAATCCCACATGGATTATAACAATACTGCATTATAAAAATAAAATCCCACATGGATTGTAACAATACTGCATTATAAAAATAAAATCCCACATGGATTCTAACATTACTGCATTATAAAAATAAAATCCCACATGGAATATAACAATACTGCATTATAAAAATAAAATCCCACATGGATTATAACAATACTGCATTATAAAAATAAAATCCCACATGGATTCTAACAATACTGCATTATAAAAATAAAATCCCACATGGATTCTAACAATACTGCATTATAAAAATAAAATCCCACATGGATTATAACAATATTGCATTATAAAAATAAAATCCCACATGGATTCTAACAATACTGCATTATAAAAATAAAATCCCACATGGATTATAACATACTGCATTATAAAAATAAAATCCCACATGGATTATAACAATACTGCATTATAAAAATAAAATCCCACATGGATTATAACAATACTGCATTATAAAAATAAAATCCCACATGGATTATAACAATACTGCATTATAAAAATAAAATCCCACATGGATTATAACAATACTGCATTATAAAAATAAAATCCCACATGGATTATAACAATACTGCATTATAAAAATAAAATCCCACATGGATTATAACAATACTGCATTATAAAAATAAAATCCCACATGGATTATAACAATACTGCATTATAAAATATAAATCCCACATGGATTCTAACAATACTGCATTATAAAAATAAAATCCCACATGGATTCTAACAATACTGCATTATAAAAATAAAATCCCACATGGATTCTAACAATACTGCATTATAAAAATAAAATCCCACATGGATTCTAACAATACTGCATTATAAAAATAAAATCCCACATGGATTCTAACAATACTGCATTATAAAAATAAAATCCCACATGGATTCTAACAATACTGCATTATAAAAATAAAATCCCACATGGATTCTAACCCACATGGATTCTAACAATACTGCATTATAAAAATAAAATCCCACATGGATTCTAACAATACTGCATTATAAAAATAAAATCCCACATGGATTCTAACAATATTGCATTATAAAAATAAAATCCCACATGGATTCTAACAATACTGCATTATAAAAATAAAATCCCACATGGATTATAACAATACTGCATTATAAAAATAAAATCCCACATGGATTCTAACAATACTGCATTATAAAAATAAAATCCCACATGGATTATAACATATTGCATTATAAAAATAAAATCCCACATGGATTCTAACAATACTGCATTATAAAAATAAAATCCCACATGGATTATCACAATACTGCATTATAAAAATAAAATCCCACATGGATTCTAACAATACTGCATTATAAAAATAAAATCCCACATGGATTCTAACAATACTGCATTATAAAAATAAAATCCCACATGGATTCTAACAATATTGCATTATAAAAATAAAATCCCACAAGGATTCTAACAATACTGCATTATAAAAATAAAATCCCACATGGATTCTAACAATACTGCATTATAAAAATAAAATCCCACATGGATTCTAACAATACTGCATTATAAAAATAAAATCCCACATGGAAGATTCTAACAATACTGCATTATAAAAATAAAATCCCACATGGATTCTAACAATACTGCATTATAAAAATAAAATCCCACATGGATTCTAACAATACTGCATTATAAAAATAAAATCCCACAAGGATTCTAACAATACTGCATTATAAAAATAAAATCCCACATGGATTATAACAATACTGCATTATAAAAATAAAATCCCACATGGATTCTAACAATACTGCATTATAAAAATAAAATCCCACATGGATTCTAACAATACTGCATTATAAAAATAAAATCCCACATGGATTCTAACAATACTGCATTATAAAAATAAAATCCCACATGGATTCTAACAATACTGCATTATAAAAATAAAATCCCACATGGATTCTAACAATACAGCATACAGGAATAAAATCATACAAGGATTATAACAATACTGCATTTATAAGGTTAAAATACTGAATATAAGCAATAAAATCCCAAAGCCCCCCATTATAGGCAGGAGGCAGTGGTACTCTGACCTGTACTGACTACGGAGCAGCAAAGAAAGAGGCAATGCTGTATAGGGAGGGGAGTTTTATAGAACCTAACTTTTTCTGATTGGTTGTTTTTCTGTGCTGCTGTGGAGTTCTAGTAAAGAGAGACTTAAGCAAATACGAAGCCTCCTGTCATGTTATAAAATTTGCATTAAACGTGTTTGTTTTCCCAGCAATCAGTTTTATCTAATGTCTTCTACTTTATCATCCAAACCTATTTTTTTTTTTTATGTCTCTTCCAGACAAAGTACGACTTTACGTCCTGCATGGGAGTGCTGATGGTCTGTCTGATTGTCCTTCTCATCTTCTCAATACTTTGCATCTTCATCCGTAACAAGATCATGGATATAGTGTACGCCTCGCTGGGAGCACTACTCTTCACATGCGTGAGTGTCTGTCTGTCTGTGGGGTCACGTTCTAGCATTTCTATCTTACATGGTGCAGGGGGATGGTTTATTGGGAGTAACAGGAGTTCCAGGGAAGGATAGATGCAATGACGGGAGGAGTTCTAGGGAAGGATAGATGCAGTGACGGGAGGAGTTCTAGGGAAGGATAGATGCAGTGACGGGAGGAGTTCTAAGGAAAGGATAGATGTAGTAACGGGAGGAGTTCTAGGGAAGGATAGATGCAGTAACGGGAGGAGTTCTAAGGAAAGGATAGATGCAGTAACGGGAGGAGTTCTAGGGAAAGATAGATGCAGTAACGGGAGGAGTTCTAGGGAAGGATAGATGCAGTAACGGGAGGAGTTCTAGGAAAGGATAGATGCAGTAACGGGAGGAGTTCTAGGGAAGGATAGATGCAGTAACGGAAGGGAGTTCTAAGGAAAGGATAGATGCAGTAACGGGAGGAGTTCTAGGGAAGGATAGATGCAGTAACGGGAGGAGTTCTAGGGAAGGATAGATGCAGTAACGGGAGGAGTTCTAGGGAAGGATAGATGCAGTAACGGGAGGAGTTCTAGGGAAGGATAGATGCAGTACGGGAGGAGTTCTAGGGAAGGATAGATGCAGTAACGGGAGGAGTTCTAAGGAAAGGATAGATGCAGTAACGGGAGGAGTTCTAAGGAAAGGATAGATGCAGTAACGGGAGGAGTTCTAAGGAAAGGATAGATGCAGTAACGGGAGGAGTTCTAAGGAAAGGATAGATGCAGTAACGTGAGGAGTTCTAGGGAAAGATAGATGCAGTAACGGGAGGAGTTCTAGGGAAGGATAGATGCAGTGACGGGACGAGTTCTAGGGAAGGATCTATATATCTTATATAAATATTTTTATTATACTCCTTTCCTTATAATCGATAACGATATGTTCTCTCTCTCTGCCAGTTCCTTGCGGTGGATACACAGATGATTCTGGGAAATAAACAGTTATCTCTCAGTCCTGAGGAATATGTTTTCGCTGCTCTTAATCTCTACACGGACATTATCAACATTTTCCTCTATATCTTGGCCATTATTGGAAAAGCCAAGGATTGAGCTTGAAATTCCTGTATTGTCCCTCCAGACTCTCCATTCCTGTGTTATGCTTTGCCCACGAATTGATTGCGATCTGTAACTTTCAAATATCCTGGCAACCTTGTTGTCCTAGATACCCCACCTTCAAACATGTACTTCGTCCTGCTCTAAATATTCAGTGTTCACCTCAGTCCCTTACATTTCTAACTTCAGTTCTCCTCTTTATTTTCCGTAAGCACCATTATTTAAGTATTGTAGTACAGTACTCTTCCTCCTTCAGCAATACTTCATTTGTTATCCTGGTCGTCTGGAAGACTGCCCTATAGACTTCAACACTGCCACAATCCCCTGTCTCCTGTAACGTTGGCCACCCCACCAATTTCCCTGTCTCCTGTAACGTTGGCCGCCCCGTCTTTTCTCTGTATCCTGTAATGTTGGCCGCCCCGCCTTTTCCCTGTCTCCTGTAACGTTGGCCGCCCCACCTTTTCACTGTCTCCTGTAACGTTGGCCGCCCCGCCATTTCCCTGTCTCCTGTAACGTTGGCCGCCCCGCCATTTCCCTGTCTCCTGTAACGTTGGCCGCCCCGCCATTTCCCTGTCTCCTGTAACGTTGGCTGCGCCCCGTCCTTTTCCCTGTCTCCTGTAACGTTGGCCGCCCCGCCTTTTCCCTGTCTCCTGTAACGTTGGCCGCCCCGCCTTTTCCCTGTCTCCTGTAACGTTGGCCGCCCCGCCATTTCCCTGTCTCCTGTAACGTTGGCCGCCCCGCCATTTCCCTGTCTCCAGTAACGTTGGCCGCCCCGCCATTTCCCTGTCTCTCAGCGAGCCTCTGTCCCTCTTATCCAATAATCCCCATCCCCACCAATACCAGATCTCAACCTACAGTATACCTTCATTACCAGACCTACCTTTGTAGCTCCCTACGTTCTGTTCACTCAAATGACCACTATTTCGTATTGCTGAACTGTATATATTTCTTTGTTTCCTCACTTTTCATAGAGTTCTTTACATTTCTAGATATTTCCACTCATACATGTTATTTATAAATACATGCTTAGACCTCATATCCCTGAATGTGAATGGCTCTCTTGGACAAACCTGTCTCACTCGTAACTCATCACGCAGAGAATCCCTGGACGTGGCCTGCGACTTAATCACCGTACGCATGGAATCTGCTGATTTGTGAGCAGAGAATAGGAGAGACACCACAGGTCTAGTGTGTTAGATGATCTTTTATTACACATTAACAGTAAATGGACAGTGTGGTAAAATGTAAAAATAATCATTTAATTTGCAATGGACTGAAAAGAAAACCTCGAACCTGGAGAAAGGGGAAACCATTACGTGAATGTAAAGAAGGAAGTGTGCATCAGTCAAGTAATAATGTCACATTTAAGGCACACTCCCGGCACCATCACAACATAAGTGAATCTAAGCTCCATACTGTGTCCACAGTCATATCTTGGTTTTGCCAAGCACCAGAGATTGCCCAGCTCTGCCAATAAGTGATCAGTGTGAGCTGAAATACTTTCCTCGGGTTTTCTAAATGGTAATTTAAAGCCATGCCAAGGGAAAGGTGGCAGATAATAGGAGGACCGTGACTGGTGGGGAGCACAGTTGTAGACATACATCCCTGCTTCCTATCTGAAAGACGTGTTGTGAAACTAATAAATAATTTAATTGTGGTGGTGGGGAAACATGAATATGAGCTAAAACAAATACACTTAATTTGTGTTGGTGCCTGCGATGTCCCTTTGATGTAAAGTGTGTGGAAACTGCTCGGTGGGTTTCGGGGTTCAGGGGCCGTGCAGCAGATCAGGGATTAAAGACCATATTATGCAGTAATTGGACTAGGACTAGGTTAGAAGTTCATTAAGATACAGCCAGACACCAGAGTTTTATTGCAATATTCACCAAAGTTGGAGGCTTGAGGTCAAAGGTAAGAGACTAGTCATACTGGGCAGTTGGTCAGTGACGAGTAGGGGACTAGTCATGCTGGGCAGTTGGTCAGTGACGAGTAGGGAACTGGGCATTTGGTAAGGCACGTCTAGGGGACTAGTCATGCTGGGCATATGGTTAGTAAAGCCTTGTACACGGTTGGATTTTGCACCAGGATCAAGGGTTGAAAGGTATTGGTGAGGGTGTCAGAGGCAGAGAGGTAGGTAGTGGGGACACTGTGACCTGGATAAATGGGGAAAGGCATTATGCCATGAGTTAAAGATTGGGCACATTGGTGTCTGAATATTTAGCGAGGGATTGAGCACTTCTAACAATTGGGTAGTGGAGGCACCAATAGAAAGGCTTTATGTAAATAGTTATGGTTTGTGATGGAGATGGATTTGTACGTTTCGCTGGACATTGTGGGATCGCTCTAACTCTGCTACATCCTGTGGTCATACTATGCACTGCATGATGAAAATGATGTAAAATACAATTCTGTGAATGAAATATTTCTTCTTTGGCATTGTGGCTGGTTATTTAATGGAATTAGTGGGGTCTAAGGTTTAATTACTACACCTCTAAAACTGCTTTGCATTGTGAAGGCTGACAGAGCACCATGGAAACTGTAGTCCCATACATTATGGACACCATTTCTGGGGTATTATTATTCACCGCAGACTGACGGGCAACCTCTAGCAGCCAAACAGACTAGAGAATGTAAACTTCCCAATAGGAAGTACAGCTGGCACGGTTCACTGCGGATTTAAAAGAAATGGAACATTTTGGGCTAAAATATCCCAAGAACATTGAATTATTGGGCAATGTTTGACTATTCTGGTCTTAAATGCGAGATTCACTTTCAGGATTTTTTGTGAATTTCAAATTCAGGCCCAAAGTAGCCGAACAGGAAGCCTTGCAGAATTTCAGCCTTCCTCACATTTTGTTATTTTGCTGTTGATCCGAAAGAAGGTGAAAAACCCAGTTTAAAGCACTTCTAATTTTGCAACAAACTAGGAAATAATTCCTTCTTGACCCCAGAATGGCAGTCAGATTTATCCTTGGATCAAGCAGTTATTACCCTACATTGAAAGATTATATCCTTGAATATTCTGTTTTTGCAAGTATGCATCTAGTAGCTGTTTGAACATCTGTATGGACTCTGATAACACCACACAAAAATGTAGGTGTATTTTGAAAAGTACAGTATAAAAAAAGTTGTCTAATGGAAACTGGACATCCTTACACTTGTAGGGCTTCAATGTAAACAAAAGAGCGAATTTATTTTAAGGAGACACATGTGCATATGACTGTTTCAGTTCAACTTCCGTGACATATTAAGACGTTTGGTAATGGGAGTGAAATGGTGAATGTATGCTGTTGCCCAGCTGTAAAAAACAAATGTTTCAAATTATCTTGAAGTCCGATGAGTGTGTTCTTCACTTTGGCTGAGATCATCAAATTTAAAAGATCACCATCTAGCCCCCCTGGTCTAATACACTGCCCCCTCCCACCACTCTAATACACTGCCCCCTCCCCCATTCTAATGCACTTCCCCTCCGCCATTCTAATACATTGCTCCATCCCCCATTCTAATACATTGCTCCATCCCCCATTCTAATACACTGCCCCTCCCCCATTCTAATACACTGCCCTCCCCCATTCTAATGCACTTCCCTCTGCCATTCTAATGCATTGCCCCCCCCCATTCTAATACATTGCTCCATCCCCCATTCTAATACACTGCCCCTCCCCATTCTAATACACTGCTCTACCCCAATCTAATACACTGCCCCCCCCCCATTCTAATACACTGCCCCTCCCCATTCTAATACACTGCCCCCTCTCCCATTCTAATACACTGTCCTCCCCCCCTTTTAATACACTGTCCCCCTCCCCCATTCTAATACACTGCCCACAAATCCAATTTTAATATTGCCCCTACCCCATTCTAATATTGCCCCTACCCCATTCTAATACACTGTCCGCAAATACAATACATTGCCCCCTCCCCAATCTAATACACTGCTCCCTCCCCACTCTAATACATTGCCCCTCTCCCCATTCTAATACACTGCCCCCACCCCCATTCTAATACACTGCCCACAAATCCAATACACTGCCCCTCCCCCTTCTGATAAACTGTCCACAAATACAATACACTGCCCCAGCCCCATTCTAATACACTGCCCACAAATCCAATACACTGCCCCTCCCCCATTCTAATACCTTGCCCCTCCCCCATTCTAATACATTGTCCACAAATCCAATAGACTGCCCCCCTCCCTCCACTTTACTACACTGCCTCTCCCAATTCCAAAACACTGCTCCTAAATCCAATACACTGCCCGTTCCCCATTCCAATAGACTGCCCCCCTCCCTCCACTCTAATACACTGCCCCCCTCTCCAATTTAACACACTACACAGGAAGTTCCCAAAGCCCCTCTTCCCCTACCTTAAGATGAGCCTCCAGGCTAGCTGAAAGATGTCCTGATTCCCGATCTTGGAGAGTAAGAGCAAAGCTCCAAACAGCATCCAGCGCTAATCCTATAAGTGTAGATATCCCGCTAGCCATAATTAAAGCTAGTATAACGCCTTTCCCTAAAACACGAGTTGAGGCTGCGAGTTGAGGGTAAGAAGAACTGATTTAATGAGCATTCATGCACGGCTTAAATACATGGATTGCAAAGTGTAACAGCCAAAAGAAACAAAGTGCATGAAATAATCACTTTTATAGACACACGAAAACTGAATAAAAATGTATAACTTTTACACTATAGTCTTTAAATACCACATTCAACCCATCCTCACACAGCTTGGATCTGAGCGCCCAACATACACGAAAAGCGCTCAGATCTCATTAATGGTATGCAAATGCTATGGGAATTAAAAGTGTCTCTAGGGTTGTTCGACAAGTAGCAGCCCATGTATTCTCGACCATAGTGTCCTGCAAGGGGTCGGTGTATCCTTCGTAGGTGTAAAGTGTCGATCGGCATGCCTTTCTGGGATTTATACACGAACGGGCGAGGCAAGGTGGATCCCAGCAGAGTTCGTGAAAAATAGTGTCCGAAAAGAGTACCAGGCGTTTGATGACCAGGTCCTGCTGAGCGTTCGACACTAAAAGATGGCTGCCGCCATGTGTTCGTACATATGAATGACGACCACCCTGTTAATGATCAATTATGTTGCGGTTAACCACAAGACGCAGCTTCAGGGTGGTTAACTAGGGGCACACACCTCATGTAGGGTGGTCGGTCGTTCGGTGGTTGGTTCGACAAGTAGTTCGGTGTCCTGTTTGGCCCTCTTATACGAACGGTGACCACCCCATTGATGATCAATTAGGCTGCGGTTAACCACAAAACCACAGCTCCTGGGTGGTTAATTGTAGGCACACTCCTCAGATAGGGTGGTCGTCCGTTCGACAGTTTGTTCGGTATTTTGAGAGGTGAAGCAGACATAGGGGACTTCTGTAACAGAGCAGTCGGTCCTCCATTTTCTGCTCTTCTTTGCTCAAGCAGGCCAAATGCTCCTCTGGCACTACGAGCAGGAGAGAAGGGGGAGTGGCTGGCACTGCGAGCAGGAGGGAAGAGGGAGTGACTGGCACTGCGAGCAGGAGGGAAAGGAGAGTGGCTGGCACTGCGAGCAGGAGGGAAGGGGGAGTGGCTGGCACTGCGAGCAGGAGGGAAGAAGGAGTGTCTGGCATTGCCTCTTCCGCCTTGTTGAAAGTCTTAAATGCATCATATGGTAATCGTTGTAGTCTGAGGTCTGCATCAGAGGGGTTTGATCTGTACAGGGTTAGCCTCTCATGCACTCTCCTATGGAAGGGTTGCTCCTCGATTTTGGCCACACTATCCGCGTGGTTCTGTTCCTCCTCCATTACCTCTGCTACAAAAACTGCTTTGCATTTGTTGCTTGCCACACGGCCCTGTGCCTCCAGGAGATCTTTTAGTGTGCTCCTTTTCAGTCTCTTGTAGTATTGCTCCATCCACCAGGACTGGATTCTCCATTGCTCCATCCACTAATGGACTTGATGCTCTCTGTTGCAGGAGTAAGGAAGCATCCCGTCGCTTGCCACCAGTTGTAATGGAGCTCCTGTACTCTGACTGAGTACCTCCGCCAAAGGTGCTACCTAGCTGCAATCAGGGATCCTGGAGCGCTTCAGACCCAGTCACTGCAGCTTAACTGGGGTCTCTGTGCAGTTCTGCCACCCCGGACTAGGCTGCTGTGGTTATAGCTCTTTTCAGTAGTCATAGCTCTCTGCAGTGATTATAGATCTGGAGCCCCTTTCTCCTGTGAAGCAGTGATTATAGATAGTGTGGTGAAAGTAACCTCGCCACTGGTTTTTGGAGGGGCCTGTTTGCCAGCCTCCTGCCCTGCGACTATGGCCCTGGGATGTATTGCCCTTCTAGGAACTGATGTGGGCATACTTGATTTTATTATGCTGCTGCTGGCCCTTTAAGAACCATCTGGGGACATACTGTGGAGTTACTGGGTGGCCACCATTTCATGTATCAGAGGCACATGGTGAGAACAATTGATGAAGCACATGGTGAGAACAATGGATGGCGGCTATTTTAACTCACAGACACTGTTTTGGTGCCATCTCGCCGGTATTTGGTGCACGAAGACATCGTTCAGTAGTTTTAAACTATACAACAGGGGACACATTATACAGTAATTATTTTTCATATAGCCTGTATATGTTCTGCGGAATCTGCATTAAACTGCATCTTCCAAACTACTGCATGGATCTGGGTGAATTTTAGATATGTGGTTCACCCAGATCCCCCGGTTTTTATGGGGTTATTGAATGTTTTGGGGTCCCTGTGATATGTTTTATAATACTGTATTTCTCTGCCTGTGATAATTATATTAACCATTGTGTTCAGTAATCATATCACAGGCAGAGGGGTGGATTTTGTGTGGGAGTGTCTGTGTGTATTGTACGGATTGATTGGTTGTATTTCAAAACCCTGTGGGCAGTACTATGTTTGTGGATTGTGAATAAAAGAGGCTGTATGTGCCAGTACAGGCAGTTCTGCTTGACCTCAAAACAAAGTGTCGTCTCGTTATTGGGGGAATTGGATTGTATGCTGATTGCCAGAAGTGTAAGCTGATTGAATGCTTTTCCTGTTCAGCTGCTTACAGCATTCATATGCTTGAGAGCATTCATATGCTTCTCCGGTTCGGTGGTTGTGGTATCGGCTGCAGTGCTTGGAGTCCTCAGGAAGCGTTAGCAGCATCCTTCAACGGAGGTACCCAGTCGGGGTGCCAGGTGATCTGTTACATTGGTGGCAAGCGGTGGGATGGCGTCCTGGTGTGAGAGGAACAGCACCCTGAAGACACCAGAATTATTATGGAGCGGCATAGAGCCAGCGAGTCCCTGGACAATGCTCGAGGTGGAGGATGAGTTTAACCGGAGGTTACAGAACCTCTTGGCCCCACTGGATAAGTCAATAGTAGAGGCAACCAGGTTGGACTGCAGAGAGGGCGCCTGACAAGAGATGTGGGAAGAAACCCTAGAGGGTGTCCAGCGTTGGCGAGGTGAGCGTCTCCCCAGCAAGGAGCAGCGACTACAAGCCCGAATGGCCTATGGGAGGAATTGGTGATGCAGCTTAATTCGCTGGCATGGAAGGAACTGGGTATCGACGATGCATACCAAGCCCTACGTTGGTACGCCGTTCAGCGTGTTCCCGGAATGGCCAAATTCGACAGACCGGAGGGCAAGGATTACAATAGCCCTGGTTTATTGTGGGGGGCCTTTGCAGAACCGGACTTTGGGAGTGCGGCCAAGTAACGACTTTGGGACATATTTTCCTACAGAGAGGCCATGCTGGACCTCCCTATGGCTGAAGACCTAAGGCCAGACCTGATTGAATTGGCTGTCCAGGAATGGGAACTGGAGGAGGACTACCAGCACCTGATGAGCTTCAGTCAGTCCCCCTATACCCTACAGGTACCACCAGAGCAGTTGGAGTTCGAACAGGATTATATCCTTTTATTTGATGCAGTAACACCTCCTGTTTCTAACCTGATGGGGCTGATGGACTGTACACCATTGGGAGCGTTGAGTTTCGTCCCTCCTCCCCAACAACTAAGCCCGTCATCAGGAGACCTGGGGTCTGTACCACCTACCCCCCAACCAGACCCAGAGGTGGGAGACCTTATCGACTGGTCCTGGGAAGACCCTCAGCTGACAAGTGGAGGGAAGATCGAGATCTCGCCACCGGCCCTACAAAGATGCGGGGCAGCCGGCCCAGATCGCCAACCACAGATGGATATGTTAGGAGTGGGGACAGCCGGTCCATCTCCACAGCGTGCAACCCAGGGAGAGGAGAGTGTCGTCCTCCATCTCCAGCAGCCAAGTGTGTTATTGGGAGAAGGGACAGGCTGTCCCTCTCCCCAGCGGCAGA